GAGCGAGGACACCGATAGACAGCCGGCCTTAATCGACAGATGGAGAGGCTCTGAACGAGCGAGGACACCGATAGACAGCCGGCCTTAATCGACAGATGGAGAGGCTCTGAACGAGCGAGGACATCGATACAGACACCCAGCCATTGCTAACAGATGGGAGAATGGGATCAAGCCCATAGCCCGTAAGATGCAACACCTGCCCCGGGTACCTTGCGAGAGGCGCACAGGCGTGTAGGTGACCAGCCCGTCAATGGCACACTGGGTACCGCAGGGATGCAGCGTGATGATCCCTGCCCGGTTCTCAATGTAGCAATGCTGCGCCTCCATGCCAGGAGCCTGGATGCTGATGTCCATGCCGGCTCCACTGCCCAGCGAGGTACGGCCTGTGGGGACATCACAAACAGAAGGTGAATCTGCATGTGGTGAAAGGTCATGTGACTGTATCGCAATGAGTATAATATCAGATCAAACGGACAACAGAGTTGGCAGTATGGGCACACTGCTGGTCCCTTGTCAGTAGGGTGCGGCACCCCGCTGGGCCTGGATACATGCGGAAGAGAGTCGTACAGCCGCTGTATCCTCTCCTACAGCAAGTTGGCCCACAGCTGTTGTAACTAGCCCTCAAGATCCTGCAGATTGACACAGGGTCTAAGACGTGCAAGCTGATCCCACATATGTTCAATGGGGGAAAGATTGGGGGACCTGGAAACCAAAGGAGGACCTCAACACGATCCAGGCAGTCCATAGACACACAGGGGTAAGACATGAGGATGCAGGATGTCACTGACGTAGCACTGTGCCATCAGGATCCCCTGAATCACTACCAGAGATGACCTGAAGTCATACCCTATGGCTCCCCACACCATGATGTCATACCCTATGGCTCCCCACATCATGATGTCATACCCTATAGCTCCCCACACCATGATGTCATACTCTATGGCTCCGCACACCATGATGTCATACTCTATGGCTCCGCACACCATGATGTCATACCCTATGGCGCCGCACACCATGATGCCAGGAGTAACGGCGGTGTGTCTCTCCATAATACCCAATAACTGGTGTTAACGGCAGCCTATGCGTGAGACGGTGAACCCGTTGTCTGGCTAATGCCGTCGTAGAGACATGTTGCAGGATGACACAGGGTGCTGTAAAGAGTCAAATACCTGTGTCCGGATGGCAAGCACAGATGTCATGGGGTTCTGTAATGCTTGCCGCACAATACGACAACCCTCCCTTGGTGTGGTCTGTTTTGGTGGACCAGAACCTTCACGACATGTGTGGGTGGCATCACGTGCCCATTGGTTCCAACATTGGGCAACTGTGACATCTGCTTGCCCCAGATGCAGGGCAATTGCATGATACGACCACCCGGCCTCATGCAAACCCACAATACGACCCCAATCAAACGTCAACTGCTGGTAATGCTGTCTAATGCCTCTACGAGGCATCCTCTGTGTCTGGTGACTAGACCTGCCAGCTCCTTGCAAATCAAATCATTTACATACACATCGCTGGTCTGCACGTGTACCAGATTACATCCAAATCGGATCATTACTTCAGGGTGCTTAACTGTTTTTTTCAATGAGTATATATATGCACTGTGAATCAATTAAAAAAGTTTTTTTTTAACATTAAAACTTATATTTACGTGCCAATTCCCTAGATAAATGTAGAATTAACACAAACGGGAGTATATAGGTCATTCTCATGAACTCATTACTGTAACATATCAGTTTTCTCTAATTATTAAAAGTAGTTTGACTGCAGACTCAAATTATGCAACGTCTGCCTCAGAGGTAGTTATATTACCAATCATTTCTGTAATAAATTTTTTTTTTCATGAAACCCAGGGTAACAGTTCAGTCCATGAGGGAAAAAAAAGATAAAACAAACCAGATAGACAATTAGCAACTAAAGTTGCCACATAAATGTAGCAGAGTAAAATGGACAATATTTCCTTCTGGGATGTAGTTGAGTAGAAGCATAAAGTAACAAAAATAATAACAGTACTTAAATAAAGTACAAGTACCCCAGTTTTGTACTTAAGTGCAGTACTTGAGTAATAGCACACAGTTACATTATAGTACTGGTACACAGAATGTGGTTGCTTGGGAGACCATTAAACAGGTTACAGTTGCACAGTTTGCCGGCTCACAGGTGAGTATGTTTCAGTTTAGGAGTCCTGCGAAAGGTCACAGGAACCCGAGACTCCTGGGAAGAGCTGCTCCGGGTGAGTAACGGCGCCGGACACGCACCTTCAGGCAGAGGTATTAGAGTGACGGCAGTGCTGAGGCGGCCACTTCCAAGACTGACCAGGTGGGGGAGCTCCGCCTGGACCTTCAGTCCCTTCTCCATCTCAATCAGGTCCAGAGGGGTGCTCTGTGGTCACCGATAGAACATGACAGGAAGTTAGTTATGAAAGGTGAATCTGTACTGATGGGGGCAATTTTCTTCCTAGGCGAGATCTTCCATCACTGCTGCTCATTGCTGGGCCATGGAGCTCCTATCTGAGAGGATCTGAGGGTTTGCTCGGGACTGAAGTTTGACCCTACATTGCTAGACACGGGAATTCTAGTCACGTAGTTATGGAAACTAAAATCTTTAGACTCCACCAATGGAAACTCAGAGCTATGAACTGACAATGAAATGTTTCTGTGTGCTTGTGGGCTAAAGACAGACGGAAACACGTAAAAAAGCTGCCCATTTATGTAAAGGTTCATCGGAATTGTTATTGATTGAGAAAAAAACCCTGACATAGGCAAGCAGCGTCTAATGGGTCACAGAACAGTGACAGGGAGACGAGGTTCGACCCCTGATGGGTGCCACAGGGACGCAAACCGACGGGATCAGGCTGAGCGACACACAAATCAACTTATCTTCATATGTCACATCACAAAAACTAAAACAATTCCAGCCAATAATTTGTCCGCCATTTAAGAACAGACACACAGCAAGGTTGGTTGTGTTGGCAGAGCATGCATGCTACTGTTTTGGTGATATCATGGAAGAGAAAACTGCTCCCTCAGAGGAAACTTCGGATGTCGGTGAAGAACGCAATCGATCAGCAGCCAAAACAGCTTTTATTTCAGAGATATTGTGGATTTAAACAAGGTAAAAAGACGCCAGTTTAAAGTCCAACGCATCCTTTACGTGTCATAAATGTGCTTAATGGCAATGCTAAGAGAATCTTAAGCAAAAATGGTAGCACAAAGTAAAAAAAAGAAGTGAATTAACAGGAAAAATTGTGCATGCATATAAAAATATATATTGTGTATAGAAATATAGCCAGCAAAATATACTGGGAGACCCTTCATTGGCAAAATTTACCCCAGACAGGCAACTTGATAAATGATGAATAAATGATGAAATCATTCACCAAAAGCCACGAGCACCCACCTAGAGGCAGCGACAAGCCCGAGCACCCACCTAGAGGCAGCGACAAGCCCGAGCACCCACCTAGAGGCAGCGACAGGCCCGAGCACCCACCTAGAGGCAGCGACAGGCCCGAGCACCCACCTAGAGGCAGCGACAGGCCCGAGCACCCACCTA